AGGCGGTGGGGTGTGCAAGGGACAGAGCCGCTCTGGGTTCAAGTAAGTTATTAGCCCAGGCCCAGAAATTCTGAGTGTATCTTTAGGTCCGGAATAATTTTGTGCAGAAGGAGTTTCTGGGCTGCTAACTTGCAGGACTGATGCAAAGTTTCCAGGACTTTGTACTGGAACATTCTGAAGCAAAATTATTCTTGTTATAAACGCCATTTTTCTTTTTTTCCTGTTGTTAATTGAATCGGTCATAAAAATAATTTAACATGCAATACTGGAATTTTATATATGTTGTATATACATATGCATTATATATATGTGTGTGTCTATGCCTACTTAGCATCCTTGCCTGTAGGCAGAGGAAGCATATGTTTCTGTCTCCACTTCCTTCCCTGGAGCACTCGGCTGAGGATGAAGAGGAGTCGTCTTTGGTACTTTTTTATACTCTCATAACACTAGTCAACTCATACCTAGAAATTTCATTGTAGGCGGGAGGGAAATGGAAGGAATGTGTGTGAAGACACATATTGCACTGAAGAAAAAAACTGGAAACAAAAACAACAGTAAGACTGCAAAGCAAATACCTCTGGAGCCCAACTAAAATTTGCCGTGCTGGACTATGAGTCAGTATGTCTTGGTGCCTGGTAGTAAACAGCTTGAACTGTGTCTCCCTGAATTTATGGATAATTACTATTTACGTAAGCATATTTTGCCAAAGCTGTGGGACAGCCTCTCTCCCACTTTTCCCTGTCACCTGTCTCAGCATGGCAGAAGCATTTCCTACTCCACACGACAGGCTGCAGTTCTGTCTCACATGTCAGAAAAGAAGAAACTTGACCCATACAATAGAAAATACGTATCAACAGGCCGATAGCTTCCTACCGGGACAGCCTAAATTCCACCCACGTGATGCTTCCTATGAGCTAGCACAGGGCTTCAGTTGTACCTTGCCTGTACAGACTGGTAGCCTCAAGGATGTCAGTCAAATTTAGACTGCCAGAATATGGCCAGGAGTGTTCTTCCCCACCTGGAGAATCAGTGGGGGGAAGAACATCCTTTTTATTGCTTCAGGTGTCTTTTTACTGTACTGTTTTGCAGGTATTTCTCTCACTCCTGTCCATCTGTGCTTCTGCCAAGAAAGCAGCCTGCTGCAGGTTTGGTTACGTCTCCAAGCTCTGATACACAACATCTGAGGATATGCCGTCTGCACACCGAGGTACTCCGGGTCCTTGTGCTAATCACAGTCTCGTCTGCCCTGGACAAAGTAAAACTCCGGCACGTAGGCATCCACGACCAATTGGTCCCTTCACCCCTGTTATTCAGAATGAAGAGTCCTGCATCAGAGTATTGTACTTAAACCTCACGCCTACATCCACATGAATGAAACTGGAGTTTTGTTACTACATCTGTATTGCTAAACAGACTGAGGACAAGGAGCAAGGTTTAATGCTGGTCAGCTGATTCTCCATAACGCTAAATTGCCAGCAAGCTTTTGGCGTGGTTCTGGCCAAGGCCAACTAGCATCTCCACAGCAATGCCTAGGCAGCAGGAGAACCTCTAGCTACCTAGCACACACCAAGGACTGCTTCCAATAGGAAGTTAGATTTGGGTTTCTTCTTCCTGTTCCAACACTATCCCAACAGGCTCTACAGCCTCAAAGCACTCCTCCATGTCCTTCTGCCATGTCCCAAGGCATGTAACACACCTTCCAGTTTCATACTACGCAAGCAACAGTTTTATGGGCCACAACAGAGTTTTTCTGTTATATCAGATATTTTGACGTAAAAAAGACACAAAAATTACAACAAAGTATTACAGCCACAGTGCATTACATACAGCTTTGAGGAGACCTACAGCACAAGCGCCATGTAGGGTAGATGTGACCAGTCTAGTCACTTGGTCTCAGGGCCAGAAAACAGTCCCCAGCCCCGTTCTGTTTTGTGGTATAGACAGGGCCTATATGGCCTACACCCAGGGCTGGTGAGGAGGAGTCAGACCCACTTTTACTCCGTGTGCCTTCAAGTGAGGCAGGGTCTCCCGTAACCCTGATATGGCAGATGAAATGACTGGTGAAAAGCAGCTGATGCAAGTTCACGCTGGCTGTCATAACCCAAAAATGAACAAGCAGTTTCTTCAGGGGGGGCTTGCTCCTACCTAGACAGACCATGTTTCCTGAATACCGAAGGAAGACCAGAGACAACAGAAGTCAGGAGGGAGGGTTTTTTTTTCATTTGTCCTCCCTCCCACAGAGCCAGTTAGGCCTCTGCAAACAGCTGCGCCAGCTTCTGACCACCGTCAATATGTCAATTCTGCTTCTCAAAATCACGAGCCTACTTTGGGTTCATGTACGCACCTCCCAGGCATCTAACTGTGGGCAATTCTCCATTGGTATTGACAGCTGGTGCACTCAACAGCAACACACAGGGAGTAGCCAACACATTGCCCTTCCCACCAGCCCCCTGCGGCAGTGTCATATTGGACATCGCTGTAATGGAAAGGTTAAAAGAAACTGTGTTGAAAAGAGATGAGAAAGGATTGACTTTGTGTTTAGACAGTGCCTAGGGCTGCATTGGGACAGGTTTTGGGGGACAGAGAGCAGAAAGAGTGGTTGAAACTGCGTCTCCTCTTCCTCTTGTTGGCAGAACAGTGTGAGGCTATTGGCTTGGTGGTGACATTCGACCTTGCTTTTCCTTGACTGGTTGGGAGACCCCCCCCAGGTTTGGAGCATCTGTACATGGAATATGAAGAGGATGATGATATTTCCTTTGCAAAATGGATGAGCAGCTTCTGGGGCCACAACTTGATCGATGAGAATGAGAAAGACGGTAGAGGCCACAAGAAACGTCAGATACGACCCTTTAGTGAAAGGAGAGCCTCCCTTCCGGTAAGAGCTGTGTGCAGTTTTCTCTGTGTGTGTGTGTGCGTGGTTTATGTACAAATATAAGTGCCATGCCCAGGGGCATCGCCCTAGAGATCTGTGAGGATGAGTATAGTGCACCTTGCTGAGTAAGTTCAGCTCCTACTGGCAGCAGCTAGTTGCTTTTTGAACTTAGCTGCCTGCCACAGTCAGGCCTCGGGTGGCTTTGGCATACAAGAAAACTGGCAAACTCCAAGGTAAGTGATGATAGGACCAGAAATGTAAGGAGAAGGGTGTAATAACTGCCTAAGTATGTATTACAATGTTGTTCGGTCTGCTGAGGATGACCTGGCAGAGATCAAAACATTTTGGAAACTGGCACACAAACACTGGCTTCAATGAGTCTGTTCTCATGTGTAAAACTACATAAGCCTGTATGTATTCACAGGATTTGGACCGAATTCTGCAACTATACCATCTCCAGGAAGTTGTATACTTTACTCCCTGGGATGTAGCTGTTTGCAGGCGTAACTTCTAATTTAAGCTAGAGGATGTGGTCCCTCCTTGTTTAAAACATCTGATTCTGAAAATAGGGATGCTGTGAAGTAAGATTTTAAGGGAGAAGCACGTTCTTTATTCTTAAACCAACAAAATAGTTGGGAAAAGAGCAGGGTTCACACGCAGAGGCAGTTCTTTAACACAGCTCACAACTGTCTAACCGATTATCAAAATGAAGTTAAACTGAAAGCAGCTGTTCCCAGTCTGCTCTTTACTCGAAGGCTGTTGCTTTTATTTCAGCCCTAAAAAAATGTTTAGGCTGTCCAAACCTGTCTCTTTTTTCCAACTACATCACTTGGCTTACCAAAGATATTATGTTTCCTTACAAAGCATTTTTCACTTATATCCTTAGATCATTATGGCTGCAACAAAGCAAATGCCATTCTATTGGGGAGAAACAGCTAATCTTTTCCAGACTTTTTTTCTGCCATGCTGTATTTTCACCTTGCAAGTTCTCCTCCACTAGAGCTGCCATGTTCTAAGCTGTGGGATTTTTTGTTTTCAAAAAATTTGGCTAAGAAAAACAAAACAGACAAAAAACCACCTCCCCCCTCTTTGAATTCATGGATGGGTTGGAGAGGTAACCTTCATTCGTTAGTTTTAAACTGATCAGCCACATTTGTTATTTACAGTTATATTTCACCCTGGCACAGATTGCAAGACAGGCTCTGAGCTAGAGCTGTGCTGATGGATTCCATCAGAATGCCTGAAAACAGAATGTCTATTAATTTCTTTAAAATTAATTTTACTGTATTTTAATTTTGTCCTTCAGAGATCTAGGCGTATGTGATTTCTTTAGGCCCCAATACAGACTGAAGTGTAAGAATGTACTTTAAATCACTGTCTACTCAGCA